TGGCCCGCAGATGGAAAAGTTTCCCACCCTTGCATGAAACGTTACATCAACGTAGCTCGTAAAGTGTAGGAGATCTGTGTTCTTTGCGACAACTACTTTTAAGCTTAGCTATTGGCTTGATTTGCACTTGATTTATTGCTCTTCTCAGAATAAGTTCAAAGACCATATAAATCACTTTCTGGGCATGCATGTAAATAACAAAAATCTGTTTCTTCCCATTTTTGAAATGATGACTTCAAAATTGCGTAGTTCTCAGTTTAGAATCGGTTAATTATTATAATTTTCTTTAGTAATGTTTTGAAAACTTTGAAATTGGTTAAACTGAGTCAAGGACTTGCTTACAGATCAGCGGAATAGCTCAGGTGGGAGTGTTGGTGTATGTGATTTCTAGTTTGCATTGTTTACTTAGGTAGTCCTACAAACTAGGATAAAAATGTGGTTTGATATATCGAGTGAATGAATTTGCGCTCCTTGTTTCAATCCAATGTCTTACATACGCCCAATAAGAGCGAAAATGACTTCTGTCTTCCTTTTTTAATTAATCGAACGTTGCGATTAAGATTCTTGTCTTGCAATTTTATAACTTTATTCATCTTCTTCTCCGAGATAAATGAGATAATTAAAGAAAAGCGACAAATCTACTCAAACGCTTTAGGAATAAATCTGAAGATGCTTTTCTAAAGGCAGAGGAATACTAGCCTCGACATTCATTGTTTTTCTGTTTCCTTTTTTTCTTTCTAATATTAAATTTGTTTTTGTTTTTATTTTTTTGTATTTATCTTATATTTCATTTTTTATCATCTTTTCTGGTTGCATACATACATATGTAAATTATCTAAAATTTGTGTGTTTATGTGTTAACTTTTTGTAACATTCTTGGCACAGAGTAAGAGAAGACCGAAGTAATAGAGTGAAAGAAGAAAATTTTCTTCCGCATTTTATTGCACGAAGCTTTTTCTCCGTGTTCCTTTGCGATATGTAACGACTGCTACTTGCGTTACATTATTAAATGGACTGTTGTGGATCTTCTCACACTCATCTCTCAGATTTTGCGGCTATGTTCGCTTTATCAAAAGCTTTGAAAAAGTCAACAGAAAGCTTCAGAGACACTACAAACCATGTGTATCCTTAATTGGCATCAAATTTTAAGCCGATCTGGGCATTGTTAACCTAACCGTCGCCTAACCGTCCGTCTGTTACTTGGCTAGTTTATTTATTCGTTCGTCTATCCATCATTACTTCTGTTTTTTCGAACATCCGTCTGTCCTCCCGTTTGACTATCTACCCTTCTTCTCCCCCTCCCCACTTCCTATGTCTGTCCCTCCCTCTTTTCGTCCGACCATCTAACCGTCACTCGACCTGTTCGCCCATCCGTCGGTCTTTAGGCATGCGTGTCCGCCTTTGTGTGATAGACGATTCTAGTCTTTCAAATTTTAAATCGGTGCAAGCATGTTCGCACGTCGGCCTGCGTACCTTCCGTGGTAATATTAGCTTCAAATTTGGCGAAAACGTTATAAGTGCCGTCGCTCGAAATGCGATGCATTGATCAAATGCCATACACCGTAAACCAAGAATACCTTCTTTTCTACAAAGTCAGACGAAACTGTTTTATTAACTTATTACACGTAAACTACACTTCATACAGTGATAAAAATTGCTAGCTCTGTAAATATGAAGAAAATAGGCCGCACCCAGTGTTTTTTTTTTTATACGATAAACGTAGTGATTCGGCCACATCTGTATATAATATCTGTATGTAAATCTTTTCCTCAGCTTTGATTTTAATGAACTGAGTTTGAAAGTGTCAGCGATAATCGTAGAGGAAACTTTGCACACAAATGGTGAACAATTTTCGCTTTTCAGAAAACTTATATGTAAAAACATAAATCACGAGGGATAAGTTTTTTTTTGTCTAGCTAGCTATTAAAGTGTGTTCTTAAGGATGTTCCTAAAGACGATCTTTTATGTGGATTTCAATTGCAATAAATTTCAACACTATTTGTCTCTATCCGTTGCTCTTAGTCGTTTGAAGCGAAGACTTGTCTTCTCAGCTCTTGTCAGCTTTTCTTGTTAACTTCCAGTTCTCTTACTCTGTGCTTTTGTAGGTTGAAAGTTTGTATTCTCATCTATATGTGTTCATATTTCTTGAAATGTATTTTGTTTTGACTTTAAGTCACTATCACATTATAAGAAATGATAAAAAGAAATTAATATATAATAAAATTTTTTAAAAGCAATATTACTAATAATAATAATAATAATAATAATAATAACAATAATATCAAAGAGTTACCCAGGGTAAGCTGACTAATGTGTTTTCAATTATTTGTGATAACAAGTGCAATACTTTTTCGTTTAAATTAATTGTAACTTAAATTTGTTTATTTCAAATATTATTAGATCTTTAAATAACAAATTGCCAACTTTCTTTCCTCTTCTTAAACACAAACACTCATCTTTGTCCAAGTTTTATATCGTATGCAGTAAAAGCCTCTTAGGCGAGTTGCTATTAAAAGTTGTAAGGAAATCGTAGTCGGTCGCGGCCGAATCTTTCATATGCTATAACATTGTTTGGGTGTGGTTGATTTATTCTATTTTCGTAGAATAATTTTGTCGAGATTTATATAGTATACCTGTGGTAAAGCAAAAAATACACGGAAAGCAATGGTATTCTCAGTTTTGGCTGTATAGACATGTGAGCGTGATAGGCGCGCACTTTGTCTTGGTTGCGGCAATTTGAATTTTATTTGAAAATTTTTAGACGATATTTTCATTTTTGCAAACAAGAGATAGCCTATCACAGGCAAAACATAATAGGACAGACGGACAGATGGACATACAAACTTGAGTGTATTCCGAATTTGTACCTGGCCAAGAGTTTATAAACTTTGTGCAGTTTTTGAAGCTGGCTTCCGCGCATTAGAATGGTATTGGTCAATATTTTACATTTTCGTACATGTAACCTACAGAATATCCGTTCAAATCTTTATAGATCTGCCGTAGTTTAAAAGTCATGAGCAAAAAACGAATTCTTTATTTCTCTTTTAAAGCATACATGTTCTCAGTTCATGTGGTACTCTAGGCGTTTGGCCTTTGGCCGATTTGACCCATTTTTGTTCGATGATAATGATATAAAAACGAGCCCTCAAGTTTTATTTGGTTGACGTTACTCGATTGGCTCGATGGGCTTTACATTCATTGTATTTGAAACGAAATGTAGGCGATATCATCAATGTGCATATAACAGAATACCGCTATCGACTACCATCAACCCAATTCAACAAGACTTCGTTAACAAGAACCATTAATCCGATTTATGCTTGATAACGAGAATCGTAAGCCGACTCCAGTTTCATGCGCTACAGACTTTAGAACATTTCAAGGCGACATACCGCAACTAATGCTAAATGGATTAATGATTGGAGCCTTCATGTCCGTTAATAGGGTTCAAAGCCTTGACGAACATTTGATCGATATTTCGCCCACAATATAACTGCAATATATAAGATTCAAAATGATGATCTTTTTCTTTTTTTTAATTTTAAAAAATATCATTTTTAAGGAAAGACATTTTATTTTTTGGAATTTCGTCATACTTTTTATAAATATGTTCCCTTTCCTTTTTTTTATACTCGGTACAGTGAGTCATCTGTTGTTGATATATTCGCTCTTTTTGTCTTTTCGTTTCTTTCTCCTAAACATGGAATAAAAAAACAAATTTCTTTGGTAAAAAATTTCTGCGAGAAATCGTTCACTTTTGTATTGATATCGTAGAAAAAGCAAAGCTAAAGGTTAGTAAATGTGACTGCTTAGAGACGGTGTTTCGGCATGGACAATGAGTACGGGTTTAAAATTGTCTCATGATCATTTTGATTTTGGACAGACTTTTCTGAAATTTAATTAATGCAAATATCCATACTTTGGTATCAAAATCGAAACACTGTTCTGGAACATGGAAACTATTCAGACAGTTGACGGATCCTATTTGCGAACAACGGCAACAGTTCTATAAGCAATTTGTGACCCAAGACCTTATTAACCGGTTAACCGTGTATACGTGCTATAATGTTATGTACCGTCCATCCGTCCGGTTCGGATGTCTTCATAAAATTTTATGATTATGAATTTGTAGTTGCCACTTTGTCAATTTCATATTACATATACCTTGCGTACAACGAGTATACTCGTGCGAAGCAAATGAAATGCACGTTTTTTGGTTAATAAGCAAATATCGTGTAGATGCCAGATGTTCATGTGCTTTCATTTCATTGGCAATTATGCATTTTATGATCTAATAATTTTGTAAATATATATCAACTGTACTCGAATTTTAATTTTAACTTGTTTTGTTTTTGGTGTTTGTGTTTTCTTTACCTTTTTTTTGTTTGTTTGTTTGTTTTTTTGTTTTTTTTTTTTTTTTTTGGCTGGTGTGTATATCGGTTTGGCAGTGTGTGTAAACCTACAAAATTGACGTTTTTTGTTTTTTTTTTTTTTTTTTTGAGAGTTAGTAAAAGCTTGTGGATTTCATTTCTTTAACAAGTGCCGCTAATAGACAGATCTAAGGTGCGTTCCAGGAATAAACGTAACGAAAAACATATAAAATAATTTACATAAAATTATATGTGTTTGTGTGCTTTAACAACCTTTTGTTTTTTTTGTTATATTTTTAATTCCGTTAAAAGCAAAGAGTAAAATAAATTATATAATTAAATGAAGATTTATACGTGAAATTTGTGGAAACATTGCAGGTACCTTAACAACAACTGGGAATGTGTGCATAAGATTACTAAAAATTTATCTTAATTCACTTAATTCACTTAAATATAAGCGTTAAAGTTTAAAATGTTTCGTTTCCTGTTTTTGTGGCTTCGTTTTACACAATTAAAGCTTAAAAATTAAAATATATTTTAAAAATTATCTCTTTACACTTAATAATAACAATAATAAATATATATATATATATATATATATATATATATATGTAAAAAAAAAAATTTAAATAAAAAATAAAAAAAAATTATTTGGCGATATTACGATTTTGTTTAATTAACACAATATCCTTCCTTGATCCGATATCCGCATAAGCGAGCATGTAAGAATTGAAAACCTCAAACTTTTCGAAATCTGAATTCTTTCTCTTCTTCTTTTTCTTCTTCTTTTTCTTATCCGTCTTTTTTCATCATCATGTGTTATTGTGTTATTTAAACAAAATCTTCTTTAACCTATGGATTTTGTTGTTTATCATTGATTTGGGCATTTTGGCGACGCAAATCGGAACTAATAAAAGCAGTGATAATAGTGCCAGCAATCAGCATAATAGCCATAGTGACATTGGCCACCACATCGCTGAAATCGCTAAGCAACCACGAATACATTGATGTGAAAATAATACCGAAAACTTGTGAGGACGCATTCAATAGACCGGAAGATGTACCTTCCGGTTCGGGGAATGTTAATTCGGCAGCAAATTCAAAGCCCACTGGCAAATAGCCCGTCATAAAGAAGCTGCAATAAATGTTAACGATAATAACAATATAACAACAAGAATGGTAATAACAATAACAAAAAAAAAAAAAAAGAAACAAATCTGTTTGTTTAGACGAAAAAAAAAAAAAAACACTTCTTGTGGCACTCATGCACGCAGACAGGCCAGCATTCATACAAAGTAAGTTTTGTTTGTTTGCGTTTTTTTTTTTTTTTTGAAAAGTAGTCAAGAACTAAAGCACAACAATCAACAAATGTTCGCAATTGCAGAAATGATTGCATGAACCGGACTTATCGCTGATGCCACACGCACTCTCTCCATCCACACACACGCACGCATATTTAATCAAACCAAAAAAAAAGAGGATAGGAAAAATAAAACTTACCCAAGCAATGATGCCGTTATATAAACTACTACAATACTTCCGGTATCCAGTGTAAAAGCGAATACCCACATGCCGACCATTGAAAAAGCATAAACTCCTAAAGTCGTTTCTCTGCGAACAGATTACAAAAACAAAAAGTAAAATGAAAAGTGCATTAAAGAGGAAGAATTCTCTTGTGTTTAAAGCGAGAAATAAGCAATTAGGCTTATGTGCTTTAAGTCTCTCTATGAGAATTCTAACAAGAATTTTAGTTACTTCTTAAAAAAAAAAATTTTTTTTTGAAAATTATTAAAAAAGAAAATATTATAGAAAATTAAAATAAAAAGAGAAATTTCTTAAAAATATTTTTACAGAATTTTCGCAATTTTCTAGAGATTTTTATGCAAAAGATTGACAAGCAAGAAAGTAAGCAAGCACTATACTGGATCAGGTGCTACCACCCCACCACCGTATAGCGGATCAGGTCCTATGCCACCGTAAAATTTATTCATATCATAGAAGGCGTGAACACAAGAATGAAAGACGGACGGATGGACAGACAAACTTAGATCAATTCAGAGAGTGATTCTGCGTCGATCGGTATAATAAAAAATTTCTCATGCCCCTTTTGGATGGGTGTTATATACATTCGCACAAACTTAATTTGCTCCCTTACTTAAACCCAAGTATATCGCACGTTTATCAATTTTTACGTATAGTCTTGTCATTCCCTATACATATTACGAGCTAACCGTAGTTTAAATTATATTTACGTATTCTTGTTTTAATATTGGTTAGCAGTTGTAGAGCCACAGTTGCCTGTGTTAATATTTGAAGAAAGTCAACTGACGTATTTCGAATGTAATCAATTAAACGATTGGCAACGTCAAATTGATTTTGAACTGAGGCATAGAGGTGAAGATTGCACATTATCTTCTTTGTGGATCGAACGGTCGTCGGAATAACATCACCGGAACGTTACAGTTACCCATAATCATCCATAGACAAATTACTCGTAGAAGAACTCACTAGGTTTAATTTCTTTAACTGACCGCCTGAAGAGACCGACAGTGATAGGCGATAGACCGAGATACATAAACTTCACATACATAAACCTCAATAGGATTCAGTCGTTTATTTTAAGCCGTGAGGCTACGGTAGAAGTCATACTTTCGCAAAATTCCAAGATAAGTTATTATATGAAGCATAATCATTAGATACTCCTCCGACACATATACATTATGGCGGATAGATGTTGAGTTAGGTGAAGGAAATGCTATGGGAAGAATATCAGTCTCTTTTTTTTAGTAAAGGTTTAATCGAGTATTAGAATTCTCTACTTATGCAAGCAACAACGTCTGGAAGAGCCGCTGAGTCATGGTCTGTTAACAGAATTAAATAACTTTTCCGAAAAGAAAAAATTTGAATCTTCACACTATGTACCACAAGTAATGTAGGGCAGCATATATATTCTTGATCAGCATTAAATTCTAAATCGATTTAACCATGTACGTCTGTCATCTGTATAATGTTTGTCGTCAACATTCTTCTGGCCGCAAAAATGAAGCTATCGACTTCACATTTCGCAGAAATATAGAAAGTTGTTGGGCGCGTTGGTATTGAAAATGGGACAAATCGGTGAGAGGACAAATCCACAGCACCACGTAAACTGAGAAGTCCTCCGTGTAAAACATTGATTTTTTGCTCACTGTTTATAAACTATAGCAGATAAATGTACAAAAATTTGAACACATGTTCCTCGACCGATACTGTACAAAAATGGAAAAAATTGGACCCTCCTACCCAATATCATAGTGCAACAAAATGTAAGTTTTTTTCCAATATCTTTACAAGGGACAAAAACCAAAAACCCTTTAAAGTATATTAATTGTTCGCCAATTTCAAATTTGGAATACCACTAACCATGTCCATCCATCCGTCTGTCCATCTGTATGGTTGCGCAATTGTGTAGTATTTGTGGTAAACATTCTCCCGTTAGCGAAAATGAGGTGGACCAAACTTTTCAAAGGACAGGCCTACAACCACGCCCACGCGCCTATGCGACAAAAACTTTTATTTTGAAAATAGAAAAGATCAGTCGCGCCCACTCCACATTGGAGGACATGAAGATTTAGTTATTTTACTTTTTTTGTTTTTTTGTAAGGTAACGTTGATGGGTATAAGAGGTTCGGTCAGGACCGAACTTAATTTTCTTGCTTGTTCACTTCTTTCGCAAACATAATTGTAATTTTTTAAGTTTCGATTAACTTTGTAAATAACAAAGCTTTCGCTCTCTCTCCCTCACTCTCTCTCTCTTTTAACTGTTTGAGAAGTCTTATCGAATTGTAAGGTCATAATAAGCTGCCTTTTACGGGGCAGTTGATCATCCCAAGCCATAGAGACGGCTGCTAACTTGGCTTAACTAACTGAAATTGTTGCCAAGGATTTGGAGTTAATAAGTCTAGGTTTGGTTATGCAAAACGATTTCAATCTGTGTTCTTAAGCATGGAATTACTGTCTGGAATTACTGGAACAACTGTCCTAAATTTGTTGATGATTATCTTTGTCTGTTCGCATCAAATAATATTTAAATTATTGTTCGATTTGATTTTTATTCACTTACTTGAATTTATGACTTTTATCAAGAATGATACCCGATACCACGGAGCCTAACATTCCCGATAAAACAATGGATAAACCAATACGACCTGTATCGATTTCATGGCCAGGATAATATTTAAGAACCACCTGAAAAAGGAAAGGAATACATGCTTACGATTAATTGAAAGGCATAACAATATTAGTGGATAAGATCCTGCTGTCAGATTAGTAAGATTAGATTAAGAAGAAAGAAAATTGTACAGTAATTACCGGATTAAGTAAAGTTGATATGGCGTAGAAGACACCGACATTCATACCGTACGAGATCAATAGTAATATATAATTAACGTTAGTTATTAGATTCTTAAGCGATTGCATAAAAGTAATTTGATTTTCTGCCTCCTCCGAACCAGGACCAGCAACTTTTTGTGCAGCCGAGGGTGGTGTAGGTGGTTTGGCTTGGAAAACTGTCGTATAAGGCGAAGCAAGCAAGCAAAAAAAAAATAAAAATAAATAAATAAACAACAACAAAAAAACAAGAGAAAAAAAAAATTCCATTGCAAGTGTTAGTAGATTTTTTTTCGAAAAATAACAAAACACTTTTAATTGTCCGTTAGTCATGCATGTTTATGTATGGTAGATACGTATGTGCCGTTTGCTCGTGTGTTCGTAAGCAATTTTTTACATTTTTTTTTACTTACACAGCACTATCAAGATGAATAGGACTGTAGTTAAACCCGCAACATAGTTGAACATCCATTGTAAATCATTTCCGATAACATTGAGATCGTCAGAGTTGGCCACCAGCATAGGCGGCAAAACGAAACCGATGGCTATACCCAGCTGTAAATAAAATTGAAAGAAAATAAAAGAGAAATGTTAAAAAAAAAAACAAAAATAAAAATAAAAATAAAGAAAAAAACAAACGTTTTTTATGGTTACTTCACTTGGATAGAATATCGCTTTGAAAAAATACTTTATATGACCGTGAACGTAAATTTTTCTCTTTTTTTTTTTTTTTTACTTTCTTTGGTGGGTGTAAACGTGTATGGCATTTAATAGTCGTCGTATCACTTTACGCACTCTCTGCGAAATTTATTTATTGAGCTATAAACAAATGAAATTTTTATCCTTTACTAAATTGTTAACTGGGCAATGCCTTCCTATATGTGTGACATTTTCTTTTGCACGTCATATACATTGACGGACGTTACAGCGTGAAAATCGTGACACAAGTGATATATGGATAGTCGATGAATGAAGTACGAAAGAGACGACGAAACAACGTATGATTTTTATTAAGTATTTTGGCTATGGATTAAAGAACCGAAAACTTTTGCATATTTAAAGTAACATATTTCACTTGTGACTTTAGTCCGTGGAGAGGCTATATGAAACATAAAGGACAGGCAAGAAATATTGAAAGTCAGAAAATTTTCTGTCATTCTACTCTTTAATGATTTTTGATAGACATAATGCTGTGTTCAAAAAGTATGACCAATCAATTTTTTTTCTTTTTTAAATCTATTTCGTCGCCGTCAAAGTAATCCTTAAATTTGCGTAAAGGTTTGGCCCGGCGGAAGGAACATCACGATAATCGAAGAAAACTGTTTTAAGTGACTTTGGCGAGGTTTTTTCGGTCTTGGCTCACCATTTGCACGATATTCACTCGATTGATCTATTGGTTTCGGGTTTTATGCATAGATCTAAGTCTAATCTCCCGTAATAATGCCTTTCATGACCCATTGATAGTCAGAAATGATCTCCTCGCAAACATTGAAAAAATCGGGAAAAAAATAGTTTTTGAGTCATGCGAAACTAAGCGCAGGGAAAATGCTAATGACGTTTATGACGTAACATTTGACACTGATGTCTGTCCCAGTGCTTTTTATTTATTTTACAAAAATATATATCTGATATTCGATAAACCCGGGCAATTTATCTCGAATATTGGTCTTACTATTTGATCACATTACTGCATATTTTTTTTAATCCAGAATGTTTTGAAATGGATTCTTCTTATTGACTTTTTCATTCTGGACGAAGAGGTTTTCCTTATTAATATGTTTAATAAAAAATTTGAAAACATTTAGAAATTCCCCCAACTTCTCAACAACTTATCATTACTTCTATTTGCATTTACTGGTTTCCCATTATCATCTTTAATTGAGACGTCTTGATGTCCGCAATCAAAAACCTATGCAAATAACTAGGCTGCTAGCGTTTGTGCACTCAGCAGTATTTCTGCTTACACTTACAAGGCATTTGTCACTATTCTTCTAATTGTCTTACATATACTCAAGCTATACCATTAGTTAGTTAGCCAGTCATCCTTAACGGTTGGTGAACTAATTTTACTTACAAGACGTAGCTTTTTCTTTCTTTTCGGAAACATCTTATTATGTTTAACGTTAATTAAAGATTTATTTTGCGATGTTTTTTTTTATGTATTGGAGAGACATAAATACCCTTATATAGATAACAATTATGAGCATAAATAAATGGAAACAAGTGAAGACATTATAGTAGGACAGGGCCCGACATTTAATACCGTACACCATTTCGCTTAATTATGCATATAAATACTTTTGGAAACAACTAAAAACATAATAGTTGGGCTAGGCCGATCCTTTAACCCTACCCAATATTGTTTAATACAATTTGTCTTAATTATAAAACACAAAAATTATATCTTGTGTCTATATAAAGGCACATTTTTCGTGTGCGTATTTATGATGAAGCGGGTTCAAAACGCAACCCAATGTAATACAAGTTTAATCCTTAGGGCAGGATCTAAAAATAGGTGTAGATGGTTCAAATTTTCTAGAATTAATTTTTGTATGAAATTACTATTACGGGTCGATTTCCATCACGATATATTAAAACTGAGACTTTTGTGCTCTGCAAAGCTTTAACTTTCGTGAAACTCCTTATTAGGTTGGGATGCAAAAAATAAGCCAGGATGGTCCAAATTTGGCACAGTTAATTTTTTTAAGTTAAATTACTGTAGTTGTCTTATGAATTTCAGTTTTCATCACATGAAAGCGGGTTCAAAAATTACCCCAGCCGGCCCAAAGTTTTCATACCAATTTAGAATGCCGAATACTTAGCCACTTTTGCTGAGAGATTTTGAAAATTGCAACTTTTTCCACAACTTCTCAGAAAGGGCGTTATATGAACAATGGTCGATTCGAACCATTTTCAATAGCATTCCTCGATGGGTCAAAGCATATCATTCTAGGAAATATCATCAAAATATTTCAAAAATGTCGACCTGTAGCTTGAACACAAATTTACATGGACAGGAGACAGATGAACAGACAAGCTTAGATCAATTCGGATTACGATTTTCTATCGATTGGTATAACGAAAGATGAGTCTATCTTAAGCTCTTCAACATGTTACATATGTTCGTGCTAATTTAATGCATCCTGTACGACAAAGGGTGTCGGGTATAATAAATTACTGTGTGAGAAGTGGCCGAAAAAGTGGTTTGATCCGAATCATTTTCACTAGTTTAAGATAACCTTAAAAAAAAAAAAAAATGAAACTTTGATTTTCTGTTATATTGAATGGGCGTGGTCGATTTTTTTTTTGAGGATTGACATATATTAATAACTGACGAGCAAAAAAAAAACCCTCCTTTCTGCGTTTAAAAGCAGAGGTTCTCTGCTTTTGTGTACAGTGTACCGTGGGTATGACTTTTGCCCGATTTGGCTCAATTTTCATATCAACCTTGACAAAGGAACTTCTAACGCTTTTGTCAAGTTTGAGACTGATCCCAGAAATTAAGCGGACGGACGGATGAAACCGCTTAAATGAATTCAAAATTTCATGCTGACCAAGACCCTACGTTGTAGGATCTCTGAAACTTTCTTTTTGAGGTTGTAAACGATTTGATAAATTAAATATACCATCATCTTGCGATAGTGGATATACAAATAAATTGAAAGATAAAATGTAAATAAAAAACTTACATTAACATAAATAAATAAAGAAAAAAAAAACAAAAAAATAGTGAGTAAAACCATTTAAGAGAATCTTCCTCTTAAAATATGCTTATTGGGTGGTGATCGACTAACAGCGCGGCATGGAGTTTCAAAGCAAGGATGAATAACATGAACGAAAAACTGATACTAATGAGACGTTGGTGAAGAATACCTTTTTCGCCTGATGTGATGGTTTCATACGGAAAACCTCATTCTTAGCCTGCCAAAAAGCTATCTTGACCCTTTATGTCTAAAGATTTCCTGTAGCAGACCTAGCTTTATATTAGTAAGCTCCTCCATCTTCGAAAGATAAAAAAAAGGCGTACTTTCTCTGATTTTTTTATACACATCGCCGAAGGATCAGGTATGCTCCTCCATCTTCGAAAGATAAAAAAAGCACACCTTCTCCGATTTTTTTATACCCATCACTGAACGACCCGATATACTCATTCATAATAACCTAAAGGAAGCTTCAGAGACCGTATATTCGTGATCAGCGTGAAATTCTGAATCGATTAAGCCATATCCGTCCATCTGTGTGGTGTGTATCGTTGACATTCTCCTGGTCTCCTGAACTTCAAATTTGTTAGAATAATTGGAAGTTTCTGCACACAGGTTGATATTGAAAATGGACCAAATTGATCAGCGAACAGAAAATATATAAACAATAGATATATTTTATCCCATTCACTTTTTTATGACCGTAAATAAAAGCATGGGGCGTTAAGGATTTGAATAGTGGTAAGCATACGAACTTCGACCCCACCTGAATATAGAAGAAAGCAAAAGAAATATTTCTTTCATAATTAGATAAGCAAGGCTTTATGGAAGATTTATTTAAAAATTCCGAAAACTCAGACCTTGAGGCGCGGCTTACGGACACGCTTTCAAAGAAAGTATCCGTGAGCATAGAAGGAAAATGATCGAAAAAATTATGGTTCGTGAAGAAAGCCGCTTGCAGTAAGCAATGTGGGCATTAGAGAAAACATTATGCTCATCGCATGTAGAGAAGGTAAGGGAAGCTAGCTATATCTGAAGTGCGAATGTTTGATGGGTTTTCTCACAGGAATGCTTATGAACTATGCCGTACTGGTACACTTTCACTTTCCGCTGGCGAGCAAAAGAGATAAAATGTAAGATTATTCAGCATGAGAGGATATCAGCGATGCCTGCATTGAATGAAAAAAGATAATTAAATCGATTTTCTTTTTTCAAAGGTGTGGAAACTCTGGTTAGCACATATTCGGTATATAGACTAAGCTTTGATGTTGTTTTACTTGTTGTTGTCTAGTTGAGTTTCACTTTTGAGTCTTTTAAATTTTAAATCCTTTGAACAAATTTTTATAATTGCTTGCGGTTAACACATAATACACATAAAACAACATGCGGCTTAATGATGACGACGATGATAACGACGATGAGGACGATTTTGTGTTTTCGTATTCCTTCTTTTTTCCCTTTTGTTTGTGTGTATATGTGTGTGCGTGTGATAACTTAAATTAAATGCATTGGATTTAAAAATGCGATGAAAGGAAACGGATGTGTTTATTGTTGTGTTGTTCTTTTTAAGGCGTAAACCGCAAAAGAAACAAAAATGTTTCTGCCCATGAAAACTTATACACACACTGCGTTGGGTATGCGTGTATGTATTGAAATTACTTCTTCTTCTTCTTCTTCTTCTTTTTTTTTTTTAAGCTATGGAGGCCAAAATACAGTCTTCAACCCCCAAACATAGCCGCAGATATGCGATTTAAGCTAAAAGAAATTAAGTAAGAAATTTTTTTTTACGCTTTAGAGGGAATTTCGTATGGTATGCAAGCCTAATAGTCGTACATTTAGTACTTTTTCCTCTCT